CTTTCCAGACCAATCATCAGGGTCTAGCTTTCACTAGGGTCTTGCTCCAGTCTCCCTCAAGTCTTACTGCTTAGTCTGGGACATCCTCCCCTCTTCCTAGTCCCACAGCTGTTGATGGTTTGCAAGACCATGTATCTGCTGTTAAGGTAGCTGTTAAGGTAGACCAGAGGAGTCTAAGTTAGTGGCCAAAAAAAAGCCAACTTTACGCAAACACCAATCCTTTTATTCTTTTCACTCCTTACTCCATTGTTGTAAAGAACAATTTTTATGCTTTTGACAGCTTCTCTTAAGCTTTCAAGACCTCAGGCACTCCTCATCAAAACAAGGGAAGAACAGAAGTACTCATTGTGTTATTAGACCAATTAACTGGGATGTCTCATGAAGTCGTGGCACTTAAGCCTCCCAACCAAACGTGGATTTTGGTTGTACTTAAGAAGCCTCAGTAGCTTCTGTTTTGTAATTTCCATAAATATATCTGTCACCTAACTTCTGCACAGTCAGATTTTTATTGGTATACAACTCATTGACAGCATCTGTACAGTCCTATTCTTACCATTTCTTGTTAACCTCCACCCCTCCTTTTCTCATCCTTCTTACCTGTAGTAACCATTCTAATAAACTTTGGTCATTATACATTTGCTTTTTCTTTTCTTGCCTTTATATACTAGTGAGGTCATACAACATTTATCATTTTATGATTGACTTAATTTCAGTCACCGTAATGTCTTCCAGGTCCATTCATCTTGGTTTTTTGTTGATGTGGTTGTCACCTGTGATTCATAGTAGCCCATATTGTAGCATATGGACTGTAGTATACAGACTTTCTCTTGCTGGCTTGCTTAGTATTTCATTGTATACCTGTACTGCATATTGTTTTTCCATTCATTTGTGATGAGCATTTAGATAGTTTCTTCTACCTTTTGACTATTGTGAATAGTATTGTAGTAGACACTGTACAACTTTCTTTTTGAGCCTTTAACATTTTGAGGGTATGTACCTTGAAATGGCATTGCAAGGTCATGTGGTAAATTCTATTTTCTGGCTTTTGATAGCATAGCGATTGTGGAAAAAAATCAGTGGTGGTTTATTAAATTAATAACAGGCATTACTTGGAGAGGGACATCATGCTTAGGAGGGTGGAGGGACAGCACAAGACAGGAAGACCTCAATGAGATGGATTAACTCAGTGACTGGGGTAATGGGGGTAGGTGTGTCAGAGACAATAAGGTTGGCTCCGGAGAGAGCAGGGTTCAGAGCTGTTGTACATAGGGTTGCTATGAGTAACAAGTAACTCGATGGTACATAACAACAATAAAAACAACAATTTAATAACCAAAATATATATAATATTTTGGCACCTTAACAACAAAAGACAAATGAGCAAAGATAAAATGATCAAAGCAATTGAATAGACATTTGATCAAAAAGGATTTTCAAATGGACACCAAACACATGAAAAGACACTCACCATAATTGATTATCAAAGATACAAATGAAAACTACAATTTTTATTTGTAGTTTTATGGTATTATTTGACTTCGAATAGTTTTATTTATAAAAGTTAATTTTAAATTAAAAATTTAGAATGAAAACTCGTTAGTTAAGATTAAAAATTTCTTTTCACGTCTAACAATTTGTATTTCTGTGATAGAATTTTCAGCTGACAAAAAAAAAATCTACCTTTGTTGTATTAGCTTTTTTTAAAAAAAAATCACATAGCTCTTAAGTAAAATGAAGAATTATTTTTGGCCTTTAGTGGGTAACTCAGCTAAGATGAACTTCCTTTTTCTAAATTTTAAACCTTGACTTTGAAATTTTTTTTTAAGTATTTACATACATTGTTTTGGTTTTATTACAACTTCTTTGTGTTATTTCTTCTTGATGAAGATACAAGGAAATGGTTCTCTGACTCATCAAATTCTAATATATTAGATGAAGCTAGTTAGTCACAAACCGTATCTTCAGGATACAAATACACTTGTAATATCTGGTATCTTTACACCACAATATTCTTTCTTTAAGTGCTAGTGTGTTCAAAGCAAAGATTTAGTTTTATAAGTTGGGAATTTTTCAAATTATAAAGTTTCAAGGCAACTGATATCCTATAATTATAATACCTTACCATCTTTTTATCATTTAAAAAGAAATTAATCTCTCCCAGTCAGTTGGCCAGGTCGTTATTTCAAATGAGCACAACATAGACAAATATGAACTTCCAATGATTTATCCATTTCTTGAAGCATTTCTGTTGGTATTTCATCATTTCTTGCAGCCTTGTGTTTTCATACCCTTCAAGCAACTTGAACGTCTCCTTTCAGTATTATCAGTTCTTGATTATATGCTGTCATCTTAAACGGTTGAAGGTCAACCGTTTCTTTTTGGTACAGTGACTTTTGTGTATTCTTTCTAATTTTGAAGTTTCCTGCTTCATTAAGTATTTTGACCATGAAATTATTCACTATAGCAACTCAGGCTTTATTTTTTTTTCTCTCCAGTTCATTCAACTCAAATGTGTTTTCCCTTTAACTCTAGATCTTTGCACAATTCACTTTAATGTTTCTCTGAATTTTTCTGTTCAGCTTCTCTTCATAATATCTTCCATTTACTTTTAACTTTTCTAAGTTCTAGAACAAGTTTCTGAGTTTCTTATGACATCTGTTTTAGTCTTGTCTGAGGTGGAGTGGATTTTTTTTTCTGTCTGTAATGACTTTTTGTTTTCTCTGTATGATATCCTTCCATAGTTAGGTGATTTTCAATCATTAGTGTTTTAATACACCAATTAAATTCTTAAGCGTGGTTTATAAATTCAGATGTTATATATTCAGGGTTCTGTTTTGGCTTCCATGGGCTTTGTTTGATTGTCTTCATCTTTAACTTGAACTTTACATGAGCAGTTGGTGGGATCTGTTACACAGTTGGTCCCTGGCCTTCTTTTGACTGTTAATATTGACCTTCTCTGTTGCTTCTTTACACAGCTATAGTCAATTTGAAAATGGTGTATTCTATGTTGAGGTCCATATGTACAGTTGCTGTTTATGTTGTTAAAAAAAGGTATTTGCAATGAAGGGAAAAATCACAATATTCTATTACAAGTTCTCCAGTGTCTTTTCTCTCTCTAAGACTGTGTTTCGTAAGTATTTATCCTTTTTTTGTTTCCAACTTTCACATTGCACTCACTGGGAACTCTGGTAGCCTAGTGGGTAAGAAGTTGTGTTACCAGCCCAAAGGTGGGCAGTTTGAATCCACTCAGTTCTCTGAGGAGGAATAGTGGGCAAGCTCCTCTTGTGAAATTTACATCCTCTGAAAACCTAGTTGATTCTGACTTGATGACAATCAGAGAGAGAATAATTTTCAACTCATTATGATTGCATATTTTATCTATTTTACACTAGAAATTGGCAAAATCCTCTATTTCCTCATCTTGGGCTTTAGTAGTTCGCTCATCTTGGGCTAAGTGTGAAATTATTTAGTAGTTTAATAGTAGCCGTATTGAAAGCTCTTCCTTTTTGTGCATGGACATATCCTATTACTTACAATATTGTATTTTAAGAAGAACCTTGAGATATTAATTCTGACTATGTCTGTGATACCATACTTCATTAATTTCTTATTCGTAGTATAATAATCATATTGTTGTTGTTGTGTACCATAGAGTCGGAACCCACACATAGCTGGCCCTCCCGCAGGTTTTCAGAGGCAATTAATTGCATAGGAGGAAATTACTTATCCTTCTCTCACAGAGCAGCTAGTGGCCTTGAACCATGTGTCTTTGGGATTGCAGCACAGTTTCTTGCCACCAGGCCACCAGAGCTCCCTCCCTATATGATTGTTCAATTCAAAATAGTAAATGCCAGTTCCTTCCGCTCACTAACGCCTAGGTTATTACCAATCTTTATGCATTCTGTTTCATTTTTTACATTGTCGGATTTTCTTGGATTGATCCTTCTTACATTCCAAATTCAGATTATAAATAGATTTTTATCAGTTTCTTTTCATTTTGAATTATGCCTTCCCAACAATTGGCAGTCAGTCCTTAATGCTTTACTCCATCCACATCATTAAATGTGACTCTGGTTTGAGGAGCTCTGGTGGTGTGTTATGTAAGAAATTGTCTTGCCAACCCAAAAGCAGTACCTCTCTCGCAGTTCACATCTACCAGGGTTTCTCCAAGGGAAAAAGGCAAGCAACCTCCACCCTGGTGATTTACAACCTCTGAAAACACCTGAAGGGTCAGCTAGGAGTAGATTCCTACTCAAAAACAATGCCTTCTTTTACAGTTTTAATAATTAAAAGACAAATGTTGTAATGCTTAGAAATTTTACAATGTTTACTATTAACTTGCATGAAAATAAACATTTCTCAAAGTGTTGAAAATAGAACACATCTCTTCTACCACCCAAACTTACCGTCTGAATCTCCTCTTCCATCTAATTGTACCATCCAGTCCTTCCAAATATTCAATGAATTAGGCTACTTTCATTTATCTAATTACATTAATGCCATTCCTCTCCTACTTCAGGATCTATTGATCTTTTTGACAGTAATAAATATTCTTGGAGTGAATGAGCGAATAAATGTAAGCCTTGAATTCTTTTTCTATTCTAATACTTCTTACACTGTCTTATAATTCCTCTTTATTGGTCTGTATTTCCTATGTGATTTTAAGTTGTATAAAGGGAGAAACAGAGTCTAGATTACCAAAGGTAGCATGATGTTTTTCATTTCCGGAAGTCCTGGCTTTATTCCATAGTAAATATAGTTCTGATGATAATTTTAATGAACACTTAGCTTGATGCCAGTGGAGATTGTTGTTGAGAGATACATCAAAGCTGTAACATAGACAGATGGTCAATCGTTTGTATAAATTTTGTAAAAAAGAGTCCAGGTACAAAAATACTAAAAGGTTGAAAGTTAAAACCTACTATTATGTTAAAAATAAATGCTGGAGCTTAAGAAGTTCTTAAAGCTTGGGTTTCTGTTTTTCCTCTCTTTCTTTGCAGATATGTCTTCTCCAACTACTATGAAGAAGCCCGAAAAGCCATTGTTCAGCTCAACATCTCCACAGGATTCTTCCCCTAGATTGAGCACTTTTCCCCAGCACCATCACCCCGGAATTCCTGGAGTTGCCCACAGTGGTGAGGAGTTTCAACCATAGTGGAGAAGCCCCCTTCGGTCCCGTGGCCAACACCATTAGATAGAGCAAATGTCTATCATCATTACTACTATGACCATATTTCCTCAACAATGAGAAGTTCACTGTAATTAATGTCTTTTAAAAAATCAATACCTGAGAAAATATTTTCAAAGCCATACATTTTAACAACATTTATATGTGTTTTTTAAGTTGCTTTTGTTGTAAAGTTTACAGTCAAAAGAAAAGCCTAGGGTACATAGCTGTAGCTTTAGCATTGTTCCTAAGTCTAAATATTTTTCCAAGTAAAATATTATCAAGTCTGTTGCTGGTTTTAGAGTTTCTGTAAAGGAATTAAGATACACAGATATGAATTTCATATTTTTCTATATACCCACCTTATTTATATTTACAAACTATATTTCGATAGTTTGGAAATTAAATGATTTAAAAAAACAAAAAATATTTTTTCTTGATAGCTGTTTTGCTATA